CATGTTGGAAAGAGAATGGGGCTCTTTTTAACTGTTCTTGGGATATTATATACCCAAACACCAGGTTGGAATTGCAGCCATCTGAATATTCTCAAAAAGCACCATTATCCTTTGAAAACCAAGGAGCCAAATGGGTGGTGTCCAGGAAAAAGCCACTATGGAGGTGGGTGAATGGGACTGCTGACAGTACTCTGATTGAAAGAGATTGATTCCCTTTGGGAAACCACTGGAAAGGCTTTCTCTGAAATGTTGACTGCATTCTAGAATGCCTTGAGCCTTGTTGTAGCTGAGTTTATGCCCGTGTCATTGTACAGACTGCCTCATAATCACCCAACATTCATCCTGGTTTATTGGCCATAGTCCCTTGCATTTGGAGGGTGAAGAACATCCTTGCTAAGCTTGTGCTGTGTATTTTCAGATTTTCTATCTTGTTCTGCTTTCTTTGTTCCTTCCATTGCTTTCTGCAGGTATTTAAACCCATGGTTCAAAAGAGACTATAATGTAGCTAAGTGGGTAGAAGATGTGAATAAAAACACTGAAGGACCATACTTTAGGTATTTTATAAATTAATTTTATATCCTTTTCACACTCTCCCAGCACATACGAATACTGTGGTGTGACTGGCTCTCTATCTTGTATCTCCCAATACAAGTTCCCATAGTTGGAGAGGGTCCTTGTTTATTTGCTGCCTTTTGATCTCTGTTTTTGGCTTCGTGAGCAAGTCTAGTTCTTTTCTGAATGTTTCAAATGAAGCCATTTGAAAGGGTTGCCTTTGAGTGCATGTCCCTGTCACCATCTCGAGCTTTTTAGTAGCTTTCTGTTCATTTTACGCCATGTAGTGTTCTATGGGCATGAAACATACTTTCCACTAATAATTAAGAAGCACTATTAACCTGAACAATTTAATTTCTGGAATCTAGCGGTTTCATAATGCATTTTTCCTACTTACCGCCTCACGAGTGCATAGTACATACCAAAACTTAAGGAAAAACCTGAAAAGAAACTAAATGAAATGTGGTGGAATTTTACTTTGAGTGAAAAAACAATGATTTGACGTAACTTGACAATTATTGAGAATATTGGCCACGTGAGCGTGTATGGAATGATTTTAGGTCTGATGTATGCAGTACAACCATTTGCTACCAGAGAAGGGCTGTGCTGAGAAGGGTTTTACAGATTCTCAAAAAAAGCATCTGAGGAATTTTTTTATTCCAGTAAGAATAAAAGGCGTTAGACGTTGTCTAACACTTCAAGTAGAACAGGGAACAGATCAGAAACATGTTGATTGACAAAAAAAAAGAGCAGGCGAAATATTCCTACATTTTAGCAACTAGCATATTTATTCAATTCACTGCAGCTCAGTATAACAGTAGAGGTCAGAGAGAATTTCCAAGAGCTCTTAATGGCATTTTTTCAGTCTTTGTAATATCAAAGTGATTTTCTAGGGGTAAATGGCTACTTTATATCTGACTACTTTGTGGACAACTAATGTAAAGAAGAAATATAGACTCAATTACTACCTCTTCTGAACATAAACGATAAGATTTCAGATTACCTATTGCCATGACTTGGGTCGGCATTTATCAGATATCAAAATACATATGTGTTTTTAACTCTCAGCACCCATTTAAGGTGGACTTTCTCTTCCAGTGTACCATTTAGTTTAGACATGTATAGTTTGAGAAAATGATTAGACCTACCTGCATTTTAATTTGATCCATACATTTGCATATAACCCAAGGAAAGCAAAACCCCTGCCTGCTCACAAAAATATATCCTGCTTTTATCCCCCATCTTTCCCTCCTGCCCTGTCCCTCTGCTCATGCACATACACTCACATTCAAACATCCCACCCTCACCTGTAGCTCCCAAGATGGCCAACGTCAGGAAGACAGGTAAGATGATTGTGAATGTTATTTGGAATCTTGGCTCACCTGCAGTCCTATCTCTCCTTTCTGTTTTCCTCAGGCTTGTGGGCAGATTGTAATTTGCAGTTGCCATGGAACCAAAACAGAATGGCTTTGGTCCCGTATGGGGTAGGGCTTATATACCTACAGGGACATTTTTGCAGCGATAATTTGTGAAATGGTACTCCGGAAGAGTTGATTCACCTCCCCCTGGGTGAGCTGAGTAGTTTATGTGACTCCCAGAGAAGAGTTCACATCTCTTAAAACCAGCACCCAGGTCTGCCCAGAAGCTGCATGACTAAACGCAATTTGGATGGGGAAATGCTTCAGCTCCCCCCGTTGCACGTGCAAAGCTGCAAGGGCAATTTTAGAGCATTCCTTTATCTCTTCCTATAAGATGAGATGTTGGTTCCTACAGTGGATAGTCACATTCAGAATTAGTGATTAAGAATCCATATTTAAGTTTAAAGGCTAGATAGAATTCAGTGGAGGGTTGTAAGTTAACTGTTATTTGAGTGTTAAAAAGGGTTATGCTGGTGAGACTTGAAAATTAGCGCTGATTCTCCGTGAGAGTGGTAAATAATGGAGCTGCCCTGGGGCTTGCAACACAATGATTCTAACACAACAGGAGAGGATTTCAGCCACTCTTCATTCACGCCAAGCCTCACGTAGGCCTGAGCGCATCCACATTTGGCTTATGCTTTGCCAACCCTGTGCTTAATCTCAGGTCGGCTCCATCTGCCGCCAGGTCATTCAGGATTACCTCTCCTGCCCAAACTACCAATAAGGGCAAAGGTCACTTTGTTAATCCTCCATGTGATGTGTAGGGTTTGTGGCATTCCTCTCAAAATGCAATGGGGACTTCGACAGCAGCAAACTGGTCCAAAATACAGCCCAGCATTAAAAAATTATGTATCCATATCACTATGAAGAGCAAAGCATAGGGCGGAAGATTTTGAGCAGAGTACCTCACTTGTGCTCTTTACCCAGTTCTCATATGGCAGCGTTCATTCCAGCTGTTGTCAGAATATATTCAGGACATCGAGAAGGAGCAGGTGAAGTCAGAGCAAGAGCATTATCTTCTCACACCTATATCCTGGAGGCAGTTCTGTTGATGATAGTGCTTTACAAGCTCTTGGAAGGTTTCCTTACTGTGGGGTAATATCTACTTGATTATTCACTTCATCAGTGGTTTTTGAGTTCGTGTCCATGATGTTGTGGAAAATGCAGTAACTCTGGAAAGACACTGATTCTAATAGGTGACATGTATTGAGTGCCTGCTGTCTTCCTTTATTTCTTACAACATCATGAGATGTAGGCATTCTTACTCCCTTTCTATGGATGGGGGAAACTGAGCCAAAAGGGTAACTCGAGGTAGCATAGCTAGTAAGTATCAGAATCAGAATTACAAGCTCCCGAAATCTGTTCCTCTTCCATCAGACCACTGTAAAATTTGCATACTAACACAGCCAAGTGAAGAAGGGGAGGATGTGTGTCCCTCCTTCCCTCCTGTGTAGCTGGTCTGGTTTTAGCCTGTTCTGGGGGACAGAACTGAACTGAGATGGGCCTTTGCTATCTACAGAAGGCAAGCCCAGGCAGTCTGAGGTAGCTCCAAGACACAGCACAGTCCATTGGCACAGGGATGCACCTACATTGTATAATTAATTCTAAATGGCACCCACTCTGGTTATTGTGGTTTTAAAAAGTGCAATAATGATAATGGTTAACATTTGTCCCACGATTACTTTGTAAACAAATGAGCTGGGCCGGTGCCTGGTTTTCAGTAAGAGCCAGATTGAAACTACCAAGCAAGTAGCCAGGGTCAGAAAAGAGCCTGGAGGCGGTTTGGAAGAAATGTCTTTCTTTGACATTTGTGAGGAGTTTGTAGTTTATTTTTGTTTTCCCTAAACTGATTTACCCTGCCTTACTCTCTACTCTCACTGACTCCTGCTCTGGTGCAATCCATTCCCCTACCCCCACAAGATAATCTCCTTCATGCTGTCACACACCACCCGACCTCAGGACCCCGTGCCCCTGCCCCTGCTAAACTGTGCTGCTTGGTCTCTTGCCCCTAGGGTCCAAAGTGTCAGCTAAACTAGTGTGTTAATGTGAGAAGTAGTAAATGCCTAATTTGGGGAGGGAAAGTCTGGAGAATACCTCCTGTTTTTGTTTTAACTCATTATTGCTTTGGCCAGAGATAGATATTTGAGGCGAAGACTGGACTTCCAGCACCCTCACTGGAACACAGAGCTGGTCATTTGGACCATGGCCAAGTGACTGGCTGGCATGATCTTGAAGCTATAAGCTAACATCTCATAATATGGACATACACACTGCAGAAATTAAAAAGAGGAGTCAGTTTGCATGACCCCTAGAGTCAACAAGATTTACCTGTTTGTGTACCTGACTAGCTTTTCTAAACTTGGAGATCTTATCAGTAGTGATTAGGCTGAAAATCCTCACCCAGGTTAATATCCCTAATTTTAGAAAAATGTATTTAAATATCTAGATATAAAGGTATATCTTCATTTTACACATACTGAATTTGTTTCCTAAAGATCATAATCCTACTTGAAATGTTTCCCTAAAATTGAAAAAAAACCATTAATTTCTGAATTAGAAAAAGATGCAGTCATACATTGCTTTAATAGTACTTTAGAGGATTTGAAGCGCCAGTATTCTTAGTTCCACCCATCTGCTTCGCCGTGGAGAGCATTAACACAAGAGAAGTCGAACAGCTGCAGTATTCTAACAGTACACCCTAAGGAGTGGTCCTGGACATCTTCCAAAAATAGAGGAAACATTTGGAATTACAGGTTAAAAGTAAACTGAATCACTCTTGCTTCTTAAAATTGAGCCAAATCTCAGAGTTTGTAGGAAAATTTATTTTCAAACCTTAGCTTAAATTGAATGTCTATAAAATAGACTGATTTGAAAGCTACAGCGGAACCAGAGCAAAGGATGATACATGGATGAGAACCAAACTTTAACGTCAGGGAGAAAAAAAGACGTCTTTA